TCTTTAAGATATACCATATAATCATCAGAAATAGTAGATATATTTTCTCTTTGAAATCTTTTTGATGTTATTTGTTATGGTTATTCTAATATGAGTTTATTCAGTTCATTTGCAGGAACTTTATCAAGAGTAGTGGGGTCATTCATTTGTTGTTTTTCATTATTACTAATAAGCTCAATAACATGAATAACAACAACTTTTCTTAAGACACAAGTAAGAGGAGTATGTGCTATTGTTTCTTGAATATTCACTTTATGTGGTGTTTTACTCTTATTAATTTCACCATTCTCTATGAACCTAATATTTTCACTTTCAATGACTCTTGTAGTATGATTATGACAATAAATATACCCCCTATCGATTTTCTAGATAACTAGTGAAATAACTACTAATTATTCTACTATCCATTTTTTTCACGTGAATTGCAATATTTAATTTCTATTTGACAATCTCAAATACGCAGATGCCCTAATATCTAATTGCTATGTAATTTATACAAAATCACTAAAATAATGATACCAACATAATTATCTATCAATAATAAATTTTATCATCATTATATTAAAAACTAATATTATAAATTTATAAATTAATAATGAGAGGATACATGGACAATAATGGAAGAATAGTTATTAAAAATAATTAATTGATAATGTTTCTATACAAGCATTTAAGGGCTTGTTTGGTGCACATGATAGAGAGGACATGATAGGATAATTTATCATATCGTGCTCTTATCCATTGCTTTGTGAACTAATAAGATATGATAAACTTATCATGTTATCTCATTTTAGCCTATCCATAGCAGGATAAACTATCTTAAGGAAGGCTCGGGTTAGAAATGGACATGATAAGATAACAAATGTCAAATCCCCTTATTCCAAATATAGTTCTATACTCTTTTTTTACAAACTTTGTTAGGCGCATGATGGTTAGACCATGCCACCGACTAGTCGGCCATGGGCCACCTTTACCAGTCACTACTGCCACCACCACTTATCAGCTAGCCACCACCATTGCCACTTATCATCACTATGAGTTATCAGTCACCACCATTGTCACCGGCTACCACCACCACCACCACCACCATTATCCATCACCACCACTAACCATCAGACACCAGACACCAGACACCAATCATCACCACTAGCCACTATCGTCGTCACCAACAGTCAGCCACAATAATTGCCACCGGTCATTGTCGGCCCCACCACCGCCACTTTAACCACCTTCACTAGTTAGACATAGACACCACCTCTAGCCACCCCCACCCCAATCACCAGACACTAACCATCACTGCCACCACTTGACACCACTACCGCTGCCATTAGTCAACCGCCACAATTATCATAGGTCATTGTTGGCTCTGTCACCACCACTCATTGCCTCATACTTCGCATGCTTCTTAATAGTTTAGACTTGGACCTATGAATAGCTGTTGTTAGGATTATTTAATCATATTTATATTTTTCTTGTAAATCGAGTGACTTGTAACAAGTGGTGGTGAGGTGAATACAGTACAGACTATGATGCACCGACACGAACACAGGACACGACACGATACGACACGCTGACACGTTAATTCTAAAAAATGTCATTTTTCGACACGTCGGGACACGTTTTGATATTAAATAAAAATTTTTATATTTAATACATATAACAGTCCACAATAAGTTATATAACCAATCAAATATTCAAATTTCATAACATAAATATAAATGTTGAGATATATGGTCCCACATTGGTTGTATGTGCAACTAATGTGGAGTTTATAAGGCCTTGGGCACTCCCACCCTTTGAGCTAGCTTTTAGGGTGGTGTATCCAAAGGTTCTTTACATGGTATCAGAGCTTGAGGTTCAATCCTCACCTCCCCCCACTTTAAAGTGGAATTAAAATAAAATCACAAAAGGTAAACCAAAAATTGGACCTGTGGGCTCTTGCTTGAGGGGGCGTGTTGAGATATATAGTCCCACATTAGTTGTATGTGCAACTAATGTGGAGTTTATAAGGCTTTGGGCACTCCCACCCTTTGAGCTAGCTTTTAGGGTGGTGTATCCCAAGGTTCTTTACAATAAACAAAAATAATTGTTCGTACTTTGTTAATTTTTCTTGTCAAATTTCATAACAGAACAAAATTGATTTATAATTTTTTTTATATTTAGTTAATAAAAAAAATTAAGACTAAAAAAAAAAGTGTCGAAGCATTTCAGAAAAAGTTGACTGCGTGTCGGAAAAACGTGTCGGAGAGTTGACCGCATGTCCCAAAATATTGACCGTGTATGGGACACGTGTCGGAACGTGTCCGTGTCGGACACGTGTCCGACATGCAATTTTTTAAAAATGTAAGTCTGTGCTTCTGAGAGTACAGACAAGCTGGACGTAGCCTAAATTGGGTTAACCAGAGTAAATTATTGTGTCTATTCTCTCTCTCTCTCTCTCTCTCTCTCTTTTTCTCTTTTCGTTTGCGATTTGTGTGATTGTCGATTTTCAAAAGCAACCCCCCCAACAATCGCCGCCATCACCACTTCAATCGGCCACCCACTGCACGCCACCAACACCACCCATTATTACTAGTTGTTGGCCAGGTGGCCACTAATATTGATAATCAATTTTAAAAGAATTTAAAAAATTTAATTGGTGATTTATGTATTTTAATAGTTAAGAACTAATGTGTAAATAAATAAAAGAACTAGTTTAAAAATTAATTTTAAAAAATCACATGAAATCATGTTAAAAAGGATACTTTTGTCTAATTATATCATATCATTAGGGGTATTCGCAGTCTGGATTGGATCGATTTTGGAAGCAAAACTCATCCGATCCAATCCCTTCGGTTTGATCATGTAATCATCCATTCGGTTTAGATTTTTTTTCAAATCTGATCCGAACCAATCCAATTTTTTTCGGTTTAGATTGGATCGGTTTTTAATTTTTTGAATATCCTAAAATTAGTTTCATGATTATTGTGCAAATAATATCTTTTGTATATATTGGCTTTGTAATTTTTTTTTTTAAATACAAGAATATCAGTAAACAATACTATAGTTGATGAGACGTGACTAAGTTTTTCCTTGGGTTTAGTTGATGAGTTAATGAGTCTTGAATTTAGAAATTTTTGGGCTATGATAATCGGTTTGGATTGGAACGGTTTTCATCAACCCATCCGAAAACCGATCCAATCCAATTAAAATTTGCGATTTTTTTTCGATTTTCGATTTTTCAATTTTTGGTTTATTCGGTTATCGGTTTTTCGGTTCGGTTTTCACGGTTTGAATCGGTTGATGAACACCCCTACTATATAGTTAGTCTCAAACATCTGATAGAATAATGTTATCCTATCAGACTACTTTTCTTAGACTACTTTTCTTATGCACAATGAACACATTATACGATATGAGCTTATCAATCTCACATCATATCCTACTCTTATCCGAACCAGTTATCGTATCTAATTTGAAAGGATATAGAGCTATGTTCTCCCTAACTTACACATTTTTTCACATATACTTATTTTGTTTATCACTAAATATAATATAATTTTCCTATGACCCTATAATAAAAACAGCATAAAATGGAGACAAGATATAATAAATGACTTCTATTCCCTAAACGGCGTAAATTAGTTTAACAAGTGAATGGTTGTATTTAAATTTGTATTATATTTAATAGCATTGACAATGAGTATTTCAAAATTATAATATACTAATTACGAAATTAATATATTTATTTTTTGTATTGCAAATATTGTATGATATACAGTTAAATTTTCTTTGGTTTAAATATGTGAAGACATATTATCTATTGATCTTGAGTTTTGACACTCTAATATTAAAGAATAAGTCTCTTATAAAATGAGTAAGTAATAGTGCATTTACTCTTAATTTTGTGTGTGTAAAATTTACTCTTAATTTTATTTGAAGTATATCATAAAATTTAAAAGTAAATATACTTTTATTTGTTTATTTCATAAGAACTTTTTCTAAAATTAAAATCCTGCCTCTGCTCTCATAAAAGCATACAGGTACTGAGTATTAACTAAATAAAAGATATTATAGACTTTTCTTAACTAAAGATGTTATAATTTTGTGTAAACAAATGTTGATTCGTCTCCTTTGTGTCGCAACAGACAGACAATATATCGTTGACCACAAGCAGCCTTTCAGTTTGGAATATTCTCACACTTCACAAATTGCACATATAGTAGTGTTTTTCCGAAATTTCTTGAGGCATGTATGAACCAATCTATAAAAGGTTCATGAATAAGCACATCAACCCAATAATTTTCTTATCGTGATCTAGTTGATGCATTGACTAAGACATATGTCTAGCATGAATAATAATAGATACATAACAGTGGCACATGCATCTTTGATTCATCATATTCATGTTCTTCCCCCTCACTCTATTGAAATGCATTCAAAAGAATCGTTTGAGTGTATTCTTAAGCAGCATTCAATCAACATTGTTATTAATATGTGGCTTCAAATGGTCAATAAATAATCAACTTTCTGTTGGATTAAATTTATGACAAAGACAATAAATAAATAAATAAATAAATAAAAACTATAATGATTACTTGAAAATGATAGAGAATTGGGACAAAGGTCTCGCTAGACATAGCAAGAGAGACAAGGGAAATGGTAGGAACATGGTCATACAAATGATAGAGGTTGGCCACTCTCTAACTACCTTGCTAACATGATTCATCTTGTTTCTGTCTCCATAAAATATTTAATTCAAAGTCAACATGCAGAAGAAATTAAATTTATATATCTAAGATTTTGTAGTCCTAGCATATATATGTTAAACGTTTATATGTCTTTGTAACTGCTATACTGAGGCTTCAAATAATATAGCTAGCAGTTGAAATTCGCAATATAAAAATGTACAATTTTAATGTTCCTTTTTCTTTGAGATTGTTCTTTATATATAAGTACCTCTTCTTTGTTATTGTTCCTCATAAACAAGTTTAAGTTGCTACCACGAGAATAGAAAAATAATGGGAAGTGTTATGACAGAAAAAGTGAAGCTTATAGTGGCATTACTTGCTCTGCAGTTTTGCTTTGCAGGATTTCACATTGTCTCTAGACTTGCACTGAACATTGGTGTGAGCAAAGTCGTTTACCCTGTTTATAGAAATATAATCGCCGTGCTTATGTTGAGCCCGCTTGCTTATTTCTTAGAGAAGTGAGTTTAAGAATGAAGCTTGTCATCTCCTTTGTCGTTTTATTCTTTCTGTTATTGCTTTTTAAGCTTGTTTCATTGGTTGTTGACAAATTTTAACATGGAGCAATGTTTTTGTCTTTCTAACCAGGAATCAAAGACCACCCCTTACTTTTTCTTTACTGTTTCAATTCTTCCTATTAGCATTGCTGGGGTAAGCAATAAATAAGCTGCAGCCACCAGTTCTTCTCCATACTTTCATTTCCTTCCAATGAATTCTAATATTTTCTTCTTTCTGTAATTTTCATTGGTTGTTTTAGCATCACTGCAAACCAAGGGTTTTACTTGTTGGGATTATATTATGCTTCTCCAACTTTTGCTTCTGCAATGCAAAACTCGGTTCCTGCCATCACTTTTGTCATGGCCTCAGCTCTAAGGTAATCAATCACGTCCCCTTGTGACACTCTTTATCATTTTTGTCATTCAATGTCTTCAGAAGTTCATAAATTCTTTTGATTTTCTAACAGACTTGAGGAAGTCAACATGGCAAGGAGAGATGGAGTGACAAAAGTTCTAGGAACCATTGCCTGTGTTGGGGGTGCCACTATAATAACTCTCTATAAAGGCCCTCCTCTTCTTCACCTGCAGACGCACAAAATACTACAAGGAGACACCTTGGACGTAGCTCAGTCTTCAACAAAAATACAAAACTGGATATGGGGTTGCATATTCTTGCTTGGACATTGTTTATCATGGGCTGGCTGGATGGTTTTTCAGGTCTGGTCATAATGATCATGGCTTACATAGATTATCTAAACAGAAACTGCGAATTAATCAATCTGTTGCTGCATTCTTATGATAACGTATGCATACATTAGAATACATTGGCACTTGGCAGTGTCTGTGATCGTTGCATGTGTTTCTGAATTGTGAATTTGTACTTGACTAGTCCAATTGTTATTTTTATAAATAACTAATGTCGTTAAACACTTGTTTTGCAGACTCCTGTTGTGAAGAAGTATCCAGCAAAACTATCACTCACTTCGTTTACATGCTTCTTTGGATTGATTCAATTCTTGATTATAGCAGCCTTTGTAGAAACTGACATAGAGAGTTGGAAGATACAATCCGCAGAGGAGCTTTTTACCATCCTATATGCTGTAATAGTCGTTGCTTTATCTCTCAAATATATGACACATCTAGAGTCCCAAAAGCATGCAAATTTTAAGTCAATTCAATTCATTTTTGCGTGATCATTACAGGGAGTTGTAGCATCCGGCATTGTCATCTCTCTCCAAACATGGTGTATTCAAAAGGGTGGCCCTGTATTTGTTGCTGTCTTCCAGCCCTTGCAAACCTTTCTAGTTGCTATTATGGCAGCCATAATTCTTGGTGATCAGTTATACTCTGGAGGGTATGTAGACAATTTGCTAACCATCAATGGAAAGATATGGGGGCAAAAAAGGCTTTCAGAAGTTTGTTTCTTTTTTTTCTCTTTTAGAAATCAAAAAACCTGACCTTCTAATGTATTCACGTTTTATTACAGGGTTATTGGTGCAATTCTTATCGTGCTTGGTCTCTACCTAGTCCTTTGGGGCAAAACCCAGGAAAAAAAGGTGATTGACACAGAGAAGGCATCATTGATAAAGTCCTTACTCAATGCTGAGAAAGAGAATAAAGAAGCTGATACTGCTCGTAAAGACATACCTTGACATATCTATTCATTGACAGATATAACTATCTAGTTCTAGTAAAGTATCAGCATTCAGCACAACCACTGGTGCATAGTCCAGTTGTCACTTGTCAGCAGCATCTTAACTTGTGCAAGATTAAGTGATTTTCCCATTAATCTATCTAAATATAGTTATTAGAGTCAAGGATTCAAGGCAAGGCTGGCTTTAGGTATAAGGCCTGGAGATACATTAAAAGGAAGAGAAGCTTAGCGACACTTGCATTACAAGATCAAATTTGGTCGGTTGGAAGCAAGCGTCCATGTGCTTTACATTACACACTTACATGTATACCTGAATTTATATATAAAAGAAAAATATTTGCTGTGATATCAATTGCAAATTTCAAGTATATAAATATTGAATATCACCTGGGGAAATTAATTTTTTTGGTGGTTAGTTCTAAATAGACGAGTTCTACTTCATACCAAATAACAATAACTTAACGTGTATCCATCCCAACTCAGCAACCAATGGAATAAGATAAGAGTCCCTCATTTCACTAGTATCAATCCTCTAATTTCACAACAGAACTCGTAAAGAGACTAACCATAGTTCTTTTCTCCGTTCTCAAGAACACTTCCTAATGAGAGTAAGCAGCGACAATTCTTGAATTTAAAATGAGGTTTAATCATGAGGCTTGCAATTAGTTATGAGAATTTTTATCACGATTAACAATACAATATGAAAAATTCATGTTTAAGGTTAACCCATTTACAAATTTATGTCTTGTTCATATTGCAAAAACGGGTGTCAACCCATAATCACAAAATCAACGTCGTTAATTTTTTTTATAAATTATTTTTGTCATATCACATCATGTCAATCCATACAATAAACATCACACTTTAAAATTGATAAATTATTCGTGTCATGTTATGTCAATCAGTAACACATTTTAAAATTGACAAATTAATTTTATGGTATTGCGTCAATTCACAAAATAAATTTGACCCATTTTTAAATTCATGTTCGTGTACAATACATCCCTTCCAGTTTTTCCAATAACTAACAGAAAAACGGGAGATTAACACACCTGAAGAGTTGATACATAAACAGAACATACTAAATATGTCATGGTGCAATGGAAATTATAACTTTCTATCCAGCCAAATCAATGGATCCCCAAAAACAAAGTCGCCCAGATTCCAAAAAAAAATCAGAATAATTAAAAGATCAAATGTAACTTACTCAATGATATTCCATCATTCCATGAACAAGTTTTGTGATGCTTCCGATAACAACCTAAGAGTATACATAATCCACACAATTTCAACTTTTCAAGCAGATTTTAAACTATTTAGTTAAATAAGAACCCATTCAACTAGTTACATACATATACAGATATACAAGTATGTTAAGGGAAGTGAAAAACATGAATACAGTCAATATCAATGGCGCTCAGAAAAATGATCAACTATTGATAAACTCCCAATACACATTAAGAAGAAGGGCTTTTGATGACTTCAGCAAGCATCACAATCCACAAGGACATCCAAAGTTGTAAATAACAACAGCAGCCAAAATAAGTGAAAATTACTAAACCAGAGTAGCTAAAAAAGAACATAACTATCAACTTAATTAAAACTTGAAGGACAAAAGATGATGATTCAGTTTTTCTCTGAATTTCTGTCACTGTTCAATCAACTCTACCTCACAGTTACAATATCATCAATCTTCAAAATCATCCGCACACACTCTGTTGCTAAGGTGATCGCACTTGTGCTTACTAGCAGTGGCTGCACCACATTCTCCTCCAAGATGTTCGTAATCTGACCCTTCCTCACATTGATTCCAGTATTTATCTCACCCTGTGCATGACGATTCCTGAGCTCAGTAACAATGGCAATCGGGTTCAAACCAGCATTCTCAGCTAGAGTATAAGGAATGACTTCAAGGGCCTCCGCAAATGCTCGAACACAATAACCCTCCATTCCGTGCAACACCTTTGCCCAGGCACCCAGTTGCCTTGACAGCTCTATCTCCGGTGCGCCACCACCTGCAATGAGAAACCTCTTGGCAACCAAACACCTAACAACACACAAAGCATCATGCAGACTCCGCTCAGCTTCATCTAACACGAGCTGGTTGGATCCGCGGACAAGCACAGTCGTGGTCTTTCCCATATCCTTAATACCAGTAACCTTCACAATCTTGCCATCCCCGAGAGAAACCTCCTCCACAAGATCTGCATAACCCAACTTCTCAGCACGGAAATGCTCAATGTTAGCAATGGGCAAACAATTCAAAGTCTTGGTAATGAACTCAATCTCATCTCGCTCCACATCCTTGATCACCAAGATCTTAGCTTTGGCAAGATAGTGCAAAGACAAATCAGTGACAGCATCTCTCAGAATACTCTTCTGAATCAACAACACATTACAACCAGTGGCCTTAATCTTCTTAATCATGCCCAGAATGTAACTCCTCTCTTCCTTCAAAATCCTATCCATCTGAGAGTAATCACTCACCACAATACTCTGCTCAATATCGGTCTTTGGAGGAGAAATCTGGAACTGAATCACAGCAATCTTGGCATTCTCCATGCGCGTTGGTCCTCCAGCAGCGTGACTCACCTTCTTATCAAACACCAAACCCTTCACCATCTCCGTATCATCAACCGTCCCACCATGCTTCTTCACGATCTTCACGTCACGTAGATCAACCATGTCGGGCTTCGCCTCGTCCACCACCGACAACACAGCGTCCACGGCAAGCGGCGCCAGCAGCGTCGAGTACTGGCTCACCACCTTGCTGTTGAGCGAAGTGCTAGCGGATTTCACGAGCGAGTCACGATCGGAGAGCTCGACGGGCACGGCCATGGCGGTGAGGACGTCGACGGCCTTCACGGAGGCCTTGTGGAGAGAATCGGAGATGACGGTGGGATGAATGCCGTGGGAGAGGAGGAGGAGGCACTGTTCGAGGAGTGCGCCGGCAATGACGACGACTGTGGTGGTTCCATCGCCGGCGGCAGAGTCCTGTGACTTGGAGAGCTCTACGAGCATCTTGGCGGCAGGTTGTAAAACCTGCATCTTGTTGAGGATGGTGGCGCCGTCGTTGGTGATGATGACCTCATCGGAAGAGGTAGAGATCATCTTGTCCATGCCCTTGGGACCAAGGCTGGTGCGGACGGCGTTGGCGACTGAGCGTGCGGCCACGATGTTGGCGTGGCGGATATCTTCCTTGCGCTTATTGTCCACGTAGGACTCGGTTTTCGACGATCGATGCTGGGGAGCTGCAATTGCCGCCATTGACGCTGCAGAGTGAGGGTGAGGGTGAGGGTGAGGGTGAGGGTGAGAGTGAGAGTGAGAAAGTAAACCCTAACCCAAATGGTTAATCGCTAATAGGGGAAATGGAAAACCCTAGATTTGAGAAGAATGGTATTGTGTTGTGTTGTGTTGTTCAGACTTAAGTTAAGAGCGGGGTTTTTGCTTTGCCTTTTTCTAGCAAAGTGTAGGGGTTTCGCTGTTTTATTTTTATTTTATTATAATTATTTTTGGGTTTCCTTACTATTTTAGTTATTGAAAAAAATATGTGTCATTTTAAATAGTATAAAATTGTGTTATTCTAAATGAGAGTAAGAGATAAATTATGAGAGACTGAATAAAAAAAATTATAAGTCTCACCTCTTTGTGAGAGTGAAATGACACCAATTATGTTATTTAAATAGACCGACAATTTTTCCTTAATTATTTGATTTGAGTCATCAAATTTGTCCTTTCGTTTAATAAAAGAACTAAGCAATGTAGCATCGCCCTCTTCTTATACCAAATGAACAATTTTTTATTAGAACATTTAAATAACAATTTTAAAAATGTAACTACGTTTATTCCACTAAATGAGACATATGTTTTATTCAAATCATTTATGATGGTTAAATAAGTTGATATAATACCACATTTTGGAGCCTAAAATAGGCTGGGCAAAAATGAGTCGGGTTGACTCGAAATCCGGCTAAAATGAGTCGGGTTGAGTTAGAAAAAATGAGTTAGTAACTCGAGTCAGTTTGATTCGTTTCAGCTCGAAAAAAATCGAGCTAACCCACAGGTCAAACGGGTTGGGTCACGGGTTATGTTTTTTTAATATAATAAAAGTATAAAAATTAATGAGATAAAGTGAAAAGCTAAAACCTAAAATTCCAATTCCAAAGACCCAACCAAAAATACCCTACCAATAAGTCCAGAACTGTGCATTAAGGATATTTTTTATAGTATGTGTGACAGTGTGAATGTGGTGCCCACTGCCAATAAGTCCAAGTCCAAATGCAAAATTTTCTGTGATTTATCTGTATAATGTCTTTGTATTGAATGAATTAATAATTTAGGAAAAAAAATTTAGAAGTTATAGCATTAATGAAATTTTTTTTCTCCATTTTTTCGAGCCAACCCAAACCCGACTTGTTTTTTTCGAGTTGAACGCGGATTGAGTCGGATTAAGCCGGGTTAACCGATTTTGCCAAACCTAGCCTAAAATATCAATCGGAACAAAAGATAATCAATATTAGGTCATAATTTCAGCCAAAGAGGAAAAACAAAAATTCTAAGGTGATAAAAAATTTCTTTATTTTAAAATTAGAGTAAATCATTAACATGAGCAACAATGAAAAATTATGAATTTGAACATATATCAATGTAGTTGTTACAAACAAAAAGGAGATTTAATTAAAAATAAATAAATAAAATTACACCTTAATTATTCTATTGTATTGTCAATAAATAATGGAAAAAATGTTTGTCCTTTTAAATGACACAACTTATGTCATTTCACTATCTCAAAGAGGTGAGATCCACACCTTTATTTTTTTTTTGTCTAGTCTTCCTTTATCTATCTCTTTCTCTCACTTAAAATGACATAACTTTACATCCTTTAAAATGTTACACACTTTTCTCCTAAATAATTTTATAAGTTGGAGAATCATATTAGTAATACCACTAATTATGTGAATTAATTTATTACAACTTAATAAATGATATTGAATTTAAGCTTTAGAGAGTAGTTGTGTTTTTACTCTACTCAAACCGAATCAGTAGAATATTTGATAAATCGATTGGGAAATTAAAAAAAAAAAAATCTGTACTAATATAAATGTGTGCAGTTAAGATTTTATATTTTTAGATTACAAGAATTTTTTTGAAATTATCTTCGTCTATAGATTTGATTGTAAAATGAAAAGTTTAATAATTCGATTCTTTCAATTTTCATGTACAAGTTTGATAACCATTTTTTTTTTTATAATTTTTTAAACTCTCTTTAAAAGCTGTCATTAATTTTTTTTTTAAAAAAAAAAATCAAAAAGTTATAGATTTTGTTAGCTCAAAAATAAGTTAATCTAAAAATACACTAATTTCATGAAAAGTAAATTTATAATATTTCACACACTTTAATAAGTTGTGAGGGCGTTTGGTTTGAGAGAATTTTTTTTTATCAGGGAAATAAAATTACTAGAAATATTATGAGAAAGTAATTTTAGTAAGAAAGTTTGAAAAAAATTGTTTGGTACGCTGAAATATTACCCGAAAAATTGGGTTACATTTTGTAAGTGTATATTTAGTTGAAGGTAGAATATTGATGAAAAAATTGATTAAAAATACTAAAATACCTCTTTTTTGGGAGTGTATGTCAGTGTAGTGTGTGTTGTGAGAGTTATTTAACTTATGTGAGGGTATTTTCGTTTGCATTTCGTTGCTCTACTTGTCATTTATCCAGTTAAATACAAAATACCACCTCAATTCGTCTTTCTCAAGAGTGACTTGACTTCAATTTTAACAAGCATTCTGAAATGCTATGCAAATACCAAAGCTTGGAGAAATATCTAAAATCTCTCTACCAAACATAGACTACATACTTTTATAAGAGATGGGGTTTTAATAATTAACTTATGGGATTTTTTTTTTATATTGTTAGAGATGAGTTATATTATGTTAGTGAAACAAAAGTATAAGAGAAATCCATAAATAATTGGAGAGAAAAAAAAAATAAAGGTCGAATCCATCATTGTTATGTGTGTATAGAAAAATGAATTATGTCATATTGAACGAGATAAATATAATCCTTAACTTATAGCTCGAGATGTCTTGTACTTTTTAACTCTATACGAGCTAATATAATAAAAATAGTGTGTTTGTTTTTTATAGTTGAATGTTCTGTTTTAAATTCTGATATATTTAGGGGGACATGATATACTTACAATAAAAAAATTTATAATATTTACACCAACCTAATCATCATTGATTTCTGTCAATTCAATAGTTATAATTTATTGGAAATTACTAATTATTCCTCCCTATATTTAGGTATGAAATTGTCTTCAGAAAAAATAAATATAAAAGTAATAATAATCAAAAAAGATAATATACAAAGAGAGTGGAGTTAGGGATGCAATGCAACTGAAGAGAGCCTCCATTTCCGTCTCACTGTAATTCTCGCGCTCTCACGATGCCATTGGTGCAGTCGTGCATGTTTCATGGCTCTATCAGGTTCAGAAACACTACTTGTGCTTCAACTCCTTTCCTCAACGCCATGTCCCTCAGCCTCAGGTCCACTCCTCTAAGACCTTCTCTTCCTTCTATTTCTACGAGGACTTTTCACTGTATAACCCTTCGCCTTCGGATTTCGTCGTGTTCAACGGCGGTTGAGCTTGATTGGAACGACAGACATGGTGCGCCGTTTAAGCATAGGAATGTTCCTTTGCCGTTTTGGCATCAACACAGCTCCAGCTATGGTCGTTTTGCCTATCAGGACATGTCTAGTGATGATTCTGATGTGGAATTAGGCTCTTCTCACTCTCACCCTAACCAAAAATTGGTTCATCTCTGCTCTATATATACTTGCTTGCTTGCACTTATTCTTTTTTTTTATTAATAATTTCTTTTTTATTGCTTGGACTGTGATAATTGACTTGTATTTAACTCTGGAAAGTGGAAACGAAGATAGATAACTGTAACTTCATTAATTATTCCTAGAAGGTTGGATTGAATTTGTGCTTTTTTATTCACTGTTGAATAGAATTGCACCTGGTCAATTGCACTTTATGTGTATTGAGGGTTTAGGGTTTTAGAGTTTATGTACAATAAGTATACTCATAAAAGTTAAAGTTTATTCCCTGTATGAATAATAAGATTATCTTAATTCACAAAAGTGATGGAGAAAGTGGTTTCATGCTTAAGAAGATAAGTTGCCTTCGTTGCTTCGCTTTGCTGGTAAGTTTTATTAGGGTAAAATAAAATTTTGCAAAGAGTCATGCTTGCTAATGCTAGATTTGAATTTGATTGATCTGTTGTACTAAATAGTATATTTGCTTGCTGTTGATTGTTAGGGTGATTCGACCCTCGAAAACATTGATGAATGGAGATGGAAGCTGACCATGCTTCTTCGCAATGAAGATGAGCAAGAAGTCGTGTCCAGAGAGAAAAAGGACAGGCGTGATTTTGAGCAACTTTCAGCTTTGGCTACCAGGATGGGTTTATATAGGTATCTTAAGTTTAGCATCGTTTCTTGCATTTTATTTATTAAATTTCTGAATAAAATTTACTTTGGCAGCCAACAATATGCAAAAGTCGTGGTCATTAGCAAGGCACCTATGCCAAATTACCGCCCTGATCTGGATGATAAGCGTCCACAAAGAGAGGTATCACTTTGTGTCAAAGTTTTCCTTTCTGTAATTTGGATTCTTGTGTAAAGGAAAAGGAGTCTCTTCCTCTTCTTTAAACAATTGTGAAGAATTTTTTATGCATAACCTTGATTAACTAAATTAATCTGGTGGACCAGACACTTTGGTTGAAGAAAACCATTTTTAGAGGATAACTTAGCCGAAAACATAATTGTAATTGAGTTTTAGAATTACAATTGTAATTGTGATCCTAGAAATGGAATTTAGTTCAGAATCTTAAAATTTGTTTGGATTACACAAAAGAATTATAAAATAAAATTGTACTTCTGTTCAATTCTAATTTGATTGTTTGGTTGTATCATGAAGACTTTTAATAATATGTTTGCCATATTATTTTAATTAAATTGATATAATAACAAAATTTATATTTTATTATGGTGGCACTAGCATGGGGTTGAGGTTGCAGCAAGCCAACAATGGCGATGACATCAGTGATGCTGGTGAAGGAGAATGTGTTGTAGTTGTTGGTGGCGGTGATGGTGGGAGTGAGGATGGTGAAAGCGGTGGTATTGGTGACAGTAGTAGTGGAGGGGGTTGGTGGAAATGGAAATGGTACAACGATGAAAATGGTAGTAGAGAGCTTGATGACTAAGATGGTGTTCAAATTATTTAACTTGGGTGGCCATGGCTGTTTTCTTTGACGTAGGTGGTAATTGCAAAGTTTTGGATGCAAAGTGAATATTTCTTGCTTTCATGGAACTGAAATTTTTAGGTGTGGTTCAGGACTTAGGAAACCGGTAGGGTTTATTTTAGTTGTTTTACAATTCTTTGGAATTGTGATAAGGAATTGGGTTTCCAAGTCTAAGTGATGGATAACAAACTGGGGATTTAGAATTTACTGTCCCAATTTCACTTCCAATTCCAATGTTAAATTTTGAGCACAATTCGAAGCACCAAATGATGCTAACAATTATTAACAGACTATTAACAGACAACAGTCTCCTTAATGGTTTTAACACTATAAAATTGTATGTTTGGTAATTTTCTATCCTCTCTTGTATTTATCCTGATTGATTGCTTTTTCTATGCTCTTGCAGGTAATCTTACCATTTGGTGTTCATAGAGAAGTAGACACTCATCTCCGCGCCCATCTTTCACAAAAGGCTACAAACAGGTTAGGTTCTTTGGATGATTTCTTGCACAGATCAAGCAATGCTAGAGGTATTCCTGCCGATGAAGGAATATATGAGCAGCCTGAGCCCATGACCCATAATAGTATTGTCAAGGAGAAAATCCTTCAAAGGAGAAGTTTGCAACTGCGTCATCAGCAACAAGATTGGCAGGTTTATTGACATTCCTCGCCTGAACCCTGAAGTGCATCTCATTTGCCATTGTGGTCTTAGTTGGCATTTCAGTAATTTTGCATTTCTGCAGTTTGACCTAAGTTACATTCATTGTGAGGATGTGAATTTATGGAAGCTATAAATTATAAAATTTTATAATGCAGCCATGTTTTTGGTGCATTTATATATATAACATTTGTAGACTTTTTAAAATGTACATAGGGTTCACCCCTGATCTTTATTGTAAGAGTTATATCTTTTAATTTGGTAATACATATTTAATGGATAATAAATCTATTGACAAATGAAAACAATTAGGTTTATTTAATCGCAGTTGTTCCAACTTGCTGATGAATGAGCAATGATTGAATATTCTAGATCTATATCTGATAGTCATAATTCATGTTATCTGGTTGTTGACGTTGATATATCATTATGTCAGTTGTTTGTTGATCCTTTCTATCAGTGAAATTTTCTGTGCTTGAAGGTCCTTTGTTTTTGTTTTAGCCTTTAGATATGTTATAACAGATGCTGATTTATCCATAGGAGTGTCCTGAAGGGAAAAAAATGCTCGAATTCCGTAGAAGTCTTCCTGCATTCAAAGAGAAGGATGCATTTTTGAAAGTCGTGTCTGAGAATCAGGTGAAAAAGGAAAAAAAATGGTGCCCTATGTGATTTGGAATTTATTACTACTTTCTATCAATGAACTTTTTTTCTTTTACAAAAGAAAACCAAGAAAAAAAGAGGCTTTGGAATATTTTGACCATGTATGATCGTTTAAATATGATGTCATTGTAAAGTTTATCATTTCTTCTTGTGAATTAGAGTTAATTTTTCTTACTCTTGAAAGATACTGTTGATTGTGAATAAAACAGGATATTATTATCTAAAACAATGTTTTATATGCTCAACCAACAGTGGTTATACCTCGACTGCAAAAATTTTAATCTCTATTTTCATAGTGTGCAACACATCGCTGTTGTATTACATTACTTACTGAAATATGTGGAGCTTTTGCATAGGCATGAACTAGATTACATATTGAATCAAGTGGGCATGTGAAAGATTGAGGTGAATGATGAATAAAAGGACACACATGGAGAGAGATAGAAACTGGAAAACTTGTTTTTGGACAAACATCAAAGGAATGTATCTAATTTTGTCATAGGTTATAAATTAAATAACAAATAGTGCAATATGATTTGGTAAAATTTACAATATGTTGTTTTTATATGTTGTAGCAGTCAAAAGCTAACAATCAAATTGATACAATTTATAGTTTCTGTGCAAACAATAATTTAGAATGGGTAACAAATTCTATTATTTTCTTTTGCAGGTCTATTTCTTGTTGAGACTATGAATCCCAATATGCTTGTGCTGAATGATAATTTATATTAATTGTTATCATTAATGAAAATTTGCAGGTCGTTGTTGTCTCAGGTGAAACTGGTTGTGGTAAGACCACACAACTTCCTCAATACATATTAGAATCTGAGATTGAAGCTGCACGGGGAGCTTTATGTAACATTATTTGTACTCAACCTAGAAGAATATCTGCTATGTCTGTCTCTGAGAGAGTTGCAGCAGAACGTGGGGAGAAATTGGGAGAATCTGTTAGTTTGTGGACCTTTTTAGCTTGCTGATGCTTAAAGTACTTCAACTTATATGCATAACTGATTAACTTGAATTCTCTGCATGTTTTTCCTTCTGAAAGGTTGGTTACAAAGTTCGTTTGGAGGGTATGAAAGGGAGGGATACTCGTCTTCTTTTTTGCACCACAGGTGTATTATTGCGGAGACTACTTGTGGATAGGAGTTTAAAGGGTGTAACTCATGTTATTGTTGATGAAATTCATGAACGTGGAATGAATGAAGGTAGGAATATAATTGTTTTATTCCAATGTTGTCTTATTCTATTTAATATGATATTTAACACTGGTTTTCGCTCTTGTCAGATTTTCTTCTCATTGTCCTGAAGGATCTTCTCCCTCGTCGTCCTGATTTGAGGTTAATTTTGATGAGTGCAACCTTAAATGCTGAGCTTTTTTCTTCCTACTTTGATGGTGCTCCAACTATGCATATTCCTGTAAGCTCAGGATACTCATTTCTGTAATGTGTTAAGCTCAATCCGTGTCACCCTAATGTCTTATTATACCATGGTATTTCATAGTCATAATATTTGTTCTGATGTGATTTTATCATGAACTTGTCAATGCTTAGTGATATTCTGTTTTTATGGACATGGTGACTTTTCTCTCTTGACAATGATTGTATAAGCTTTTGAAAAGTAAATCTGTGCACTTTATCAGTTCAACCACTTAGCTGTTGAAAGATAAGCTCTGCTTGGAGTTCTTTGGCATATTAATTTGTGTGTAAGATGGTAAATTAACAGAGAGCTGATTTTCATCATATCTTTTCACAAACTAGTATATGGCAATTCTACATTTTGCTGCTTTGGCATACAAATATACATATGCTTAGAGATGATGTGAAAGATACAGTAAACTTATTTTCCTTTTGATTTTTTGGGGACTTGTGCAATTCCTAGGGTTTTACATATCCAGTTCGAGCTAATTTTCTTGAGGATGTTCTGGAAAGGACTGGATATCGGTTGACTCCTTATAATCAAATTGATGACTATGGTCAAGAAAAAACATGGAGAATGCAGAAACAAGCTCAAGCTTTCAGAAAAAGAAAGAGCCAGATTGTTTCTGCTGTTGAGGTACACCAGTTGAGCTGGAAAGCTTTGCTTTTTTTTTTTTTTTTTTTTGGGATTATTTTTTGGCTAATACTGTTAATTTCTCTATAATTTTGGGTAGGATGCGTTAGAAGTTGCAGACTTTAAGGGGTATAGCCCACGTACTCGGGAGTCATTGTCCTGCTGGTCCCCTGATTCAATTGGTTTTAACCTTATTGAACATGTGCTTTGCCACATTGTTAAGAATGAAAGGTCAGGTGCTGTTTTGGTTTTTATGACTGGTTGGGATGATATAAACTCTTTGAAGGATCAGCTCCAAGCTCATCCTTTGTTGGGTGATCAGAGCCAAGTGTTGCTTCTTGCATGCCATGGCTCCATGGCCAGCTCTGAGCAGGTGACCTTGCTAGTAATAGACTGAAAAGCAACTGCAGTAGATAGTACTTGTTTTAATCTAGTTTACAATTTAATTCAAGATATCTAATAGCAAGCTTCAAATATTGGAGCTTATTGAAATTAAATATATTGTATTAAAAATTGGTACTTTATTATTGGTTTCTGGGTGTAAAGAACCATTTCAACGCAAAAGCTCAAACTATTAGGTGAAGGCACATTAATGATTTTATATTTCATATTATATTTCTCTAATACGCCCCTTCATACCAAATTTCATTGGGTTTGAAGGGTGAACAATGCACAAATTCACCTACGAATACTGAGAAACTCCACAATTTTTAATTATTTAGTAATAGAATGAGGGCAATGATGGTCGAACTCGTGATCACTTGGTCACAAAAACTTTAATATTATGTAAAGAACCATTTCAACCCAAAAGCTTAAGCTGTTAGGTGAAGGGACATTAATTGTTTTATATTTTATATCTTATTTTTCTAACACTGGGAACCCTTTCATTTTGTTTATGAAAGGAGAAACATTTTATTATCAAACTTGAAAACAAAATTTTAGAAAGTCTTGTCAAACATGAATTTAAACTCTGCCATTCTTTACTTTTTTGGTAATGAAATTTGCTGCAGTAATTGATTATTTAAAGGAGTTGCTTTCTAATGCAAATATTTTTCTTTTTGCTGGGGAGGGCGTGGGGATTTCTTTTCATATTGAAGCAATTAAATTTCTGTGCTCTAACTGAATAAATCATATTTCTGTTTCGCCATATATTTCTAGTCATATTTATGCATTGCAATGCAATGTTTTCTATAATAAACTTTGTTTGTGTTCCTGTTTTTCCTTTTGTTCTGCAGAGATTGATATTTGAAAATCCTGAAGGAGGGGTGAGGAAAATTGTTCTGGCAACTAATATGGCCGAGACTAGTATTACCATCAATGATGTTGTCTTTGTGGTTGATTGTGGAAAAGCGAAAGAGACATCATATGATGCATTGAATAACACTCCTTGTTTGCTTCCGTCTTGGATCTCAAAAGCTGCTGCCCGGCAGGTATTTGTGATTGCTCAACTTAGTTTTGTGAATTTGGATTATTTGATATTAGAGTATACAACTACTACAATTGTGTGCTGTGCTTCCAACACTTATGCATCGTGTATCTATGCTAAGTCAGCATTGAATCTGAATCTGTTAAACTGGTAAAACTGCTTACAGCTGTTATTACAGTTGTCAGTTAGTTACATAAGTGATGGAGACAGTCACACCTATAAAAGAATGTACTTGTGAACCATGCAGTTAAGTTCATTCTATTCAGAATCACTTCAGAGAACTCTCTTTTCTCTCTTCTCTCTCTTTTTTACATTTTCTATTAGTTTCTCTCATTTTCTCGAAAAGTTCTAGTTCTATCATTTGAGAATTAATTCTTTTATTTCCTTTCAAATGGAAGGTAGTCTGATTAAAGGGGTGAGAGGAAGACTTGAGAAAACTTCAGGACAAACCGTTAGAAAAGCTATTGCTTCAAATGGTTTTACTGAAAAGTTGGGTTTTTGATAGAGCCAAATGGGATTAGGCTTGGCTATTGTTGTTTTAATTTTGATATAATTTTTTAGTAAGGATGGATTTTTTCTCCATGTCTAGAACTTGAACTTATGTTATTGAGTTAAGAACGAATGTGAAAGTTAAAATTATGGTGTGTTATACCCAAGGTATGTTATTTTTCTTTACCATATATGCTGCGGAGGTCATAAGATGATTAAAGTGATTAACAATATTTGTGTAACTTATTCAGTCTTTTTAAGATATATTCTTTAATGATATTAAATTGAAGCGATATGTCAATTGGAAGCCGATGCTCATGCACGGTGCTTTTGATGGATCTGTGAAGTTGGACTGAAGAATGGTTGTTAACATCTAATTGTTGTTATCAAGTCGATGTACATTTTTTGAGTAGTTTAGCTGTCATATATGCCTCCCTTGTCTGTTTACCGCTTCCTACTGTTTCCCCCCTCAGATTATTCTATTGTATTAAGTATTTGGATTGTCTGGCTGCTTAGAAAATTTTCATTTCTTTTCTTTAGAGAAGAGGAAGGGCTGGTCGTGTTCAACCTGGTGAATGCTACCATCTTTATCCCAGATGTGTTTATGATGCTTTTGCTGACTATCAAGTGCCAGAGCTTTTAAGAACACCTTTGCAGTCCTTATGTCTGCAAATCAAAAGCCTACAACTTGGAAGCATCTCTGAGTTTTTATCTAGAGCTCTGCAGCCACCAGAGCTTCTATCGGTAAAAATTTTTGCAAATGTTTTTGGAACTTGCACTGACATATGATGATTGTTATTTGAATTTATTTCCAATGAATTGTATATGTTGAATTTAAGACATTCTGCATCTCGCATCAGTATTGTTTTATTCAATTTATTATGTTGTGAATTAATTTCATTCTGCAGGTTCAAAATGCTGTTGAATATTTGAAGATTATTGGGGCCTTAGATGATAATGAAAATTTGACAGTACTAGGTAAAAGAACTCACTTTACTGCATCTTGGTCTCAGTTTCTCCTGCCATATTTCTATCAAAAGAATTTTCTCCTGTCATTGATTTCTCCGAGACTTTTTAAATGCATTATTTTTATTTACTCCACAGAGTGTCACTGCTGATATTGAGTTGTTAATTTTCAGGACGCAAGTTGTCAATGCTTCCTGTAGAGCCCAAACTTGGCAAGATGCTCATTTTGGGAGCTATCTTCAACTGTTTGGATCCCATAATGACTGTTGTTGCTGGTCTAAGTCTAAGAGATCCATTTGTTATGCCGTCTGACAAGAAGGATGTAAGTTATTGTTATGACTCAGTGGCGTAGCCACATCCAAACCAGCAGGTTCCTTGGCACCTGCTTGTTTTTTTTACTTATTATATATATTATATAATTAATTATAATTAACTAAGGTAAAAATTATAATTTGGCATCACCTAAATAGAAAATCAAATACTCAATACAAAGTAACAACACAAAGAATATGAAGGTCCATTGAACTATTGTGTAAGATGAAGGTCTATAATGAACCAAATGAATAACAGGACTATAATTATGGAATATGAAGGTCCATTGAACTACTGTGTTTTGGGTTATTGCACACACAAAGAATAGTCAAAAACCTAATTCTCAAATGTGAGAACTTTCCATCATGCTTATGGCTGTTGCAAACAAGGGCGATGTTCTCTAACGTGAGATATTGAAAATTTAAGAAATAGAGATAATGAAAGAGGAGACGAAGGACAATGTTTATTACACATATAATTATTATATTTGTGTGTTTTCATGTCTTTAGGATAATGTTTGGTTCATTACTTATTATGTTGTGGGAGGAAAGTGAAATTCTTATGTTTGAAATGTTTATCGAAAAGGCTAGTGCATTTTTATATTTTGTTTTGATATATAATCAATGACAATTGTTTATTTGAATTTTCAATATTATGTGACATTATTTAGTACATAATTTAGATAACAATGTTAGAATTCATAGTAAATTTTTTTCCTGATAAATTTGTGTAATTACGATAAATATTTTGTGAATTTGATATGTCAAATTTTTTGGCACCACCTAAATTTTTGGGCCGACTCCGCCACTGTTATGACTACTCCTAATATCCCACTCTTCCCGTATATTAACATTGGATGTTCTTCTTGATAGACATGGTAGTGGATTTTATTAGTTTTGATGTTATCAATTGAGAACAGTTGTTTTAAAGAAAATTATTCTTGGAATTAAACTATAGCAAGTTCATGGATTCATATGTTTTGCTTATTGTGTTGGACCTATCAAGAATGCTCTCTGTATTGGTTGATTAGATTGATCCCATTTAGTAAATATGGCTGCATATATGTTTTTTTCTTGTGATTATATTGGTTCATTTTTTATAATGTCTATTGGTGTTGGCACAATGGTTGGTGTTGTCGCCATGTGATCCGGAGGTCACAGGCTCACATCATGTAATCATCTCTTGCAAATGCAAGATAAGGCTGCCTATTATAGACCCACACAATGGGTTTGGCCCTTCTCTCGACCATGCACATAGTGAGGGCTTTATTGCAATAGGTTGCCTTTTTGTGTTGGTTCATTTTTCACATTAAGAATATCATTGTGTCATTCATTATTAGCCTCGATCACTCTTATCATAATCAATTTGCTATATCTGTGTTAGGTGGAGAGGAGCCTGGCTCTGTACTTGATTGTTTACTGTGTATGTTTTATGCAGCTTGCAGAGTCTGCCAAGGCCCAGTTTGCTGCTCGTGCCTGTAGTGATCATCTTGTGCTTGTCCGGGCTTATGAGGGTTGGAAAGATGCTGAAGCACAGCAAGCTGGTTATGAGTACTGTTGGCGAAATTTTCTTTCTTCTCAAACACTTAGGGCCATCGACTCTCTTCGAAAGCAATTCTTTTACTTGCTCAAAGATATTGGTTTGGTTGATAAAAATTCTGCAACCTACAATACATGGAGTCATGAGGAGCATCTACTCCGAGCAGTTATTTGTGCGGGTTTGTTTCCCGGAATATCCTCTGTTGTGGTAATCCACTCCACTTGTCCTTCCCATTTGTCTGATGCTTCGATATTATTAGCTTTTGCTTTTCAAATTTTTTTTCTTGCTGTGTGTGCCCGAGTCTGTATTGCTAGGTCTGCAGTATTCATTTTCTATTTCTACTCATGGCATTTTCATGAAAGTAACACAGGCATTAGCAAGTATGAGCCACATGGGCTCATACTATAAAATATAGGATATGGGTGGAATAACTATAAAGATGAGGGTAGTGTAAAAGTGTTATTTTTTGCCATATTTAGTAAATGATGTACGAGTACTCGATAGGACGGGAGCACTGAAAATATTTTCCACCGCCACATCATATCCTCATCTGTAAACAACAAAAAAGTGTCTTTACGTCAAATCTAATGTTTTACATCAGCAAAAAAGAGTGTTGTCATGTCAATAGCAGGAATAAGGAGAAGAAGAGAGAGAGGGGGGGGGGGGGGGGGGGGGCATTGATTGTTTAAATCTGAAAACTATTAATGTAACAATAACATTGCAATTAGGGGGACATTTGACCTTTGTTACCATCAAAATTGTAATTTAAACAATATATGTAAGCATGTTCTATTATATTCATGTGTGTTTTTTTTTTTTTTGGGGGGGTGGTGGGGGGTTTATGTATAGATTAACCTTAAGATATGGAGAGAATACTGTCATGTTTAATTTATAAATCAGTTGCAATTTTCTTGTGTAATTCTTTTTGATGCGAGGTTATACAAATTGTGTATGCAGAACAAAGATAAGTCAATAGCACTGAAAACAATGGAGGATGGTCAGGTTCTTCTGCATGGAGTAAGTTTCTCCTTCAAATATCTTTTGCTTTCATAAATCCTTCTATTCTTATGACCCAGTTTTGTTTGAGGGAAAATATAATCCATCAAAGTTCTAAATTTTGGTGCTTCATCGTGTAGAACTCTGTAAATGCTGGTGTACCCAGAATTCCATACCCATGGTTAGTGTTTAATGAAAAGGTGAAAGTGAATTCAGTATTCCTTAGGGATTCAACTGCTATATCTGATTCTGTGCTGCTCTTATTTGGCGGGAACATATCCAGAGGTGGACTAGTAAGTTCCTACCTTATTTCCTCTTCACTTTTCCCTGTATCGGTTGTTCTTGATTGTATGTACCAGGTGTTTCCTTTTGACTATTTATTGTGCTGTGACATGTGGTGATTGGTGAAATATGATTCTTTTGACAGGATGGTCACCTGAAAATGTTGGGAGGGTATTTGGAATTTTTCATGAAACCTGAATTAGCCAAGACTTACTTAAACTTAAAGATGGAACTGGAGGAACTGATAATGAAAAAAGTAAGTACAATTCTATTGGTCATAGGTTTAAACTTCAATACTTGTCAAATTTTTCCGAGAATCATTCATTTGTATAGCCACATTCTTCCATCAATGTTCAGTCTCTCTCTTCAAGTCCTTGACATAGTTGCTTTATGCTCTGCATGTTATGCCAGCTTCTGGATCCCATGTTGGATACACAATCGCATAACGAGCTTCTTTCAGCTGTTAGATTGTTGGTATCAGAGGACAATTGTGATGGCAGATTTGTCTTTGGTCGCCAGGTCCTACCACAGTTAAAGAAGGCGACAAACTCTAAAAATGGCGATCTAGGTGGGGGTGATAATTCCAAAAATCTTCTTCAAACATTCCTTAACAGGGCTGGACATGGATCACCAACTTACAACACAAAGCAGCTGAAAAACAACCAATTCCGTTCTACAGTCGTATTCAATGGCTTGAATTTTGTTGGCCAGCCATGCAGCAGCAAAAAACTAGCAGAAAAAGCTGCTGCTGCTGAGGCTCTTCTATGGTTAAAAGGGGATACCCATTCGCCTGATGATATTGACCATGCGTCTGTGCTTTTGAAAAAGAGCAACAAGAAAAGTGGGAAAAAATCGTTCAATGGTGCTAAATGGAGTTGAGTTACCTTTGAAAGACCTATCTTGGATTGCTTTGTTGATAGGGTTGTATACTGAGGAAGAGCTTGTCTAGTTGAAGGCTGTGGTGCAATGGATTCAAGGATCTTTCCGGGCATAATTTATAGTGCAAGTGTACAGAGCTATTGAGGGAACTTGAATCTGACAGGTTCAAATCTGAGCCCTTATTTTTGTAAAGTGTGATTGCATCCAGAGTCAACCTAGACTTGGGGCACAATTCAAGACGTGTATTTCTAAAATTGCTTTTGACTAATTTGGCCCGGAGGAGAGATTGGGTGGCTTAGCAGCTACCATACTAGCTAAAGAATTCTTGTAATAGAGGGAGTAAGCAGCTAAAATGTGTATCCATATGCTGATGGTGCATTCTTTTTGCATTGCTCTTGTGGACGGAGATACTTTTCAAGAGGCTTGCAATAATTCATTGAGCGGGCAAAACATTTTTCACACTAAGTCCAGGTATTTTTTGGAATGGATATGCATACTTTTAAATTCCTAGTCAGATGTCATAGTTGCTTAGGAAACATTTCTTAGTTAATCAGCCTGCTGATCATCGAGTTAACATATAGAATATGTATTTGAGATGAATTTGACTCTCATAAGCGTATTATGAGGCTTCTTGTTACGCCTCCTAAAATGAATTCTTTTCATGCTGATATTGTAAGCTTATAGGAGATCAATTTTGATTTACTAAATTCAGTCACTGATTAGAAAAGCAAGAGAATTGATTTAAGTTGTATAAATTTTAGAGCCAATAATCTTCAATATGTACAAGGCAATGATGAGGTCCGCGTTAAAGCAAAGCTCAGTATGACAATCGATCAGACTCATTGTCTCGCTCATACATCAAAATTCTATTGACCTTCAATGGTTTCTTTTGCATGTTATCCCTGCATTAACGTTCCAACAACTCTACTACAATTTACGCTTATATATATATATATATATAATAATTGCAAATATCCAGTAATGTTTTTATTCCTCGTGAGTCATTCATTATTACTATTATTATTATTATTAATTAATTAATTAATTAATTAATAATAATCTAGAACTTGTAGGTTGGCAGATGTAACAAAGACACCTTTCCAAGCAAGGCACACACCACTGCTGATTTGTGCATTTCTTTTTCCTTGCAGGTATTATTACAAATGTGAATTTTCCCAGAAAAAAAAAACAAAAATCATAAATCTTTTTTTTTTTTTAGTTCTGCAGAAAATGGAAATAAAGTGTATTGTATTATTATTATTTTCTGTAACTGGAGCGTCCCCGGAAAAATTATTCACCAAGCAGCGGAAGAAATTGTTCTCTTTGGGTATCACATCAATTCATTAACCTATCTCACCAACTCCACTTTTTGAAGTAGCAGTTGCACGCCGACCCACAAAAAGTTCATATAAAGACACAGCTTAAGAATGGGAGCAAAATACTCAGAAATTTGAATGAGTATAGACACTATGTTCACTACGTAGGTTTTATCACAACTTCAGTTCAAGGAACAATTTTTACCCTACTACTTTCTACGTAAAATAAACCAATCATCATTTGTCGTTGAAATAGTACATACAAACAATTCCAGCTGCAAACAACTTAAATGACTTCAACTAAATCCCAAACTGTGTATAGCCTAAGTAGTTTGTTATTGCAAGATGTCCAAAAGCTGTGCCAGAAATGCTTCAGATCCACTGAACATCGTTTTTCCTTCCATTCAAATGCTTTGTTGAAGATGATGACTTCTTTGTCCTTTATTCTGCACGCTACTTGTTGAAAAACAATGGATAAATATGAATTAAAAAAAAAAAAAAAAAACACTGCGACCAGAGTTTGATCTGATACTAACCACGACAACTTACTAAACTCGCAAAAACCATAATTACCGATGCAATAGCTCAATGGCTTTCTGCAATGTAGGCTTAAACCTATTAACATCAAGCTTTACGTTTTGTTTGTCCAAATATACAGACCTAAATGCTTCCCATCCTATTTTTCCAATTGATGGAGGATCCTTTATAATCATATGGTCTAGTGGGTATTGTTGTATAAGAGTGCTTTCTTCCAATTGTATTTTGTATTCCAAGTACTTTATGTTCATATCCTTTGAGGGTATCCCAAAGTCATATGTGGCAAGCCATTCCACCCCACCATAAGGCACAACTTGGATGAAGATTGCATTTTCCGGAAGGAAAAGTATGTTAGTGAGACCAGCACCATGAACACCCAATAGCACATCACAAGAATTCACCACATCTGCAAACTTGGACATGCTCCCCCCTGCTTCCATAACAATGACATTGAAACCCAAGCCTTTAGCCATTTTTGCTATTTGATCTGTATTAGTGAATGATCTTGATCTTTTTCTTGAAACAAGTAGGAGCCTGGGCTTCTTACGTCGACCATCTCTCATTTTGATTGCTTTAACTCTCTTCAATGAGTAGGAACTTCTCAAAAAATCCCTGAAGTCTTTCATAGAATAGGAATACTTTTGAGGGTCAATGCTTAGCTCTTTATGATACCGTTTGAGACCCACATTCACCCTTGGGAAGCAGTGAACTTCATCATCTTTATCAATGTCCATAATCTCATAGTTGGACAGCTTATTGAGAAATGCTTGGTGCTTTGAAATCCACCAAGGTCGCTTATCAGTTATGATAAATTGTACTTCTCCATTGAATTGTCTAGAAGTCAAGAACAGTGGAATGACAATGTCAGTGAATTCATGGAAGTGGTTGCCAGTATACCCTCCAGTAGAAAATATTACAGCTGGAATGCTGTGATTTTGGGTGCACTCGGGTACTTCCTGGTTGACTTTTACTGGCTTTACTAACCATTCTCTTACAGTACTCATTGCAAATGTATCCCCCTTCCGCGCATAAGGCCTTATACTCCATGAGACGTTTTCTTCCAAGATGGATGTTTTAGGGGACACAATGTTAACAGAAGAGGACTTTCCATGGACTCGGATATCTCCCTGGGTTTGGCAAAATTCTGTTCTTTCTTCTGAAGTGCATAATGGCTCAATTTTCTTTGTTTCTATTCCTTCAACTGCAAAATAAAGAATGATTGTTTCCATATAAAGGTTCTTTTGAGAATCATTGGTCTCAAAATTCCACAAATGGAACTGATTTAAGCTAGCTTTCAAGTTTCAAAGATATTGAGATAAGAAAATCTTTACCTTCAGCTTTTGGGGGAGAGCTACTGGTGTCTTGGATGAGAATCTTGGTTACATTATCTTCAACTGCAAAATGAATAAGGTTCTGTCAAAATCATTATCCTCCACACTCCATGTAATTAGTAATTACCGTCAGAGAGTAGATTGCCTGTCTTTATTTTTTATTCTGTTTTTTGACTGGAAAGAAGGTGGGGATAGGGGAGGTGTTCATGTGGTTAAATCACAAGTAGAGTTGATTTGAACTAGCTCCTACTGTTTTGAACTTGTTATGTTACCTTTAGATATTTGTAGAGAGCTCCTGGTGTCATTAACAGGAATCTTTGGTACTACACTTTCAGCTGACAAATGAAATATATTCAGAGTGTTAAAGGTCTAGCTTAAATCCTTCTAACCTTATTGAGATTTAGCAAATCTTACCTTCATCCAATTGTGGAGATTTGTTGGTGTTTTCAACAACAACTTCAGCTACAATGTCTTCAACTGTAGACCAAAGAGTCATCACATAAACACAGGTTGTCAGAATCATTTGCCTCAACCCACTGTATATTCAGGCATTTAAGATTGGCTTTTTATTTATTTATTTGTTTATTTTCTAGGGAAGGTATCTGTATGGCAAAACCACAAATGGAGCTGATTTGAGTAAGCTCTTGTACATGTGTTAACTTTATTGAGATTCAGAATATCTTACCTTTGGCTATTTCTGGAGAGCTGTTCCAGTCATTGACCATCAGCATTTTGGTGTCAACACCAACTGAGAGCTTCAAGTTCACTGTGGACAAACAAAGATATACTTAATGTCAACACCATGCATGCTTGTACTTAGTCTTGGACTATGGAAATAGTTGGCTAATGCAAGTGTGTACAGAGCAAGAAGATAAGCACTCACAATCATGTATAGGACCCAAGTAAGATTTGAACACTGTGCAAAGACTCAAAACCAGAAGCAAGCAGCCCGCAAATGCTCCATATCCCAACCTTTTCTGCTCATAACGACTGAAGCTTTTGGCAAATATTGTGTGGTAAACCATTTTTTATTACCAAAGAACCTAGCTCTATGTCAATACTACAATGCCATCTCACAAATAATAGTCATTTTGATCAGGAAGCTGATTAGTGGAAGACCATAAAAATCTTTGTACACGTCCTTTAAGGTTTGAGTAGCCGGTGAAGCAAGATTTTGAGACACTTCTATATGACAAGAGAAAGGTTGAGATGCATTTTCTATAAAATGTTGCCCCCCACGTAGTTGTTGGCTCTTGAATCAGGAGGATTCTCCAAAACTAATTTAATAGGGAATGAAAAGGACTTGTGGTTGACTGTTAATTCAATGATTAGTATTTGGTTGGGCTATATTTTTTTTCATATATGAAGCTTTGAAAACTATTAACCAACTAAAGCTTGTTTAAAATGTTGATGTCAATTATTGCAGTTCTTGAATCACCCTTATATATATAGTACCACTAGATTACCATTCTCGGTGACACATAACTCAAGTGAAAATCTTACATGCAGCATCAACCTCTGCATGAAAATGGCAGCTTAGTTAACTTAGTGAACAAAAAACCAAGGACAAACAATCAGTATGAGCTATAATATCTAAAAGCAGTTGCATTAAAGTGCAAAATGGTCCAACTTCTTAGAGGTTGATGATTGGATTTCTCTGTTTACTTTTTTAAGTTATAATATGTAGCATGCAACATATGGATAAAAAAAAAATGTTCAATGTTGGAACCTTGGATGGCAATTCAACTGACCGTAACAACTGCTAGGTATGAACGTATGGCACACACTCTACTTCACATGCGAAAAAGGACACAAAAGTAAAATGGAAGTAATAACCTCAAAGAGCAATGGGATTGTCGGTAGGAAGCTGAATTCTAGTAACAAAAGGGATTTAAACAAGTCGTTTGGTAGGAGAGAGTAAGACATTTTAACAATCAGAGTATTTTTCTCGTTTTTTGTGGGGTGCATGATGAGGCTGCTGGAGTAATATATATTACGAGGATTTGTAATATATGCTTGATCTCTTCTTGATGAATACGTGTGTGTCTTAAAATAATCAAATCTTTGATTTTAGACGTTAGGTAGTTCTAAAATTAAGAATTGTTAATTAATGGATTTTATTATTTCCAAAACACAACCACCCTACGCCCTCATTACCTAGCAGCTATAATTGAGACATTTTAGACACTTGGTTGGTGATAATCTTATTTATATATATGTGTAATAACTTTCTCTCTAGGTCACACACACACACAACACGCATGCAAGCACGTACAAATTCAAAATATTTAGTAACAAGATGTGAGAATAATCTAAACACTTACCCAACAAATCCTTGACCTTATATATTATTGCATGCCAACATTGATTTTCAGAAGTCAATATTAGGTATCAAATTGTGGGACTAGGATGGATAATATGTAACCAAAGTGTACCGTGTGTGCGACGACGCATGTTCGAGTTTCTGTGCACCAATTAGCTAGCTTTAATATTTTCTATTTCTCTAACTAATTCTGATTTCACATGAAAATATGTTATAATAAAGTTTTTTAAAAAAAGTTACATGAATCAGAATAAAAAGTGTTACCCGTCATATGACTAACATGAGGAATGAGCATGAAAGCTGATTAATTTGATCTGCAAAGAGTGATGAAACAGTGTCACGTCGGCAACAAATGGCGTTAAAAGTTTGTTTTAAAAAAAAAGTGGCGTGAAAAGATCAACAAGGAGGATGGAAAAGTTTAGGCTAATACCATATAAGATTTGTGAATAGCTTAGAGATGACTCAGTAACCCTATTGTATTTATTCAAGGTTTACAGTCACTAATTAGGAAAACAATAAATTATAATCCATATTGTGAAACATATATATCAAACCTTCATTGATTATTAATCAAATCCTAATTGATTACAAATCAAATAAAAAAACATAAAATCATTATTATTTTTTTAAATTGTCATATTATTATAATAAACTGATGATTAATTTTTTATTCTTATAATTTTGAAAAGGAAACATATATTATATTGTGAGGAAGTGTTTGTGAGTGAGAAAGGAAAAAAAAGATAAAATGACAATTTTTTTTATAATTCAGATAAGATAGTTTATTCAATAATTAAAAAAACAAAATTATTGCATTACAATAACAAAGGAAATAACAACTGTGCCAGCCATTTTCATTGAACGGGTCCTGCTGGTTTTATAAATCACCGTTGAATTGTCGGTTTCATCCAATTTTTACATACAAAAAAAAAATGAAGTTTATTACAAAAAAAAATAAAAAAAAATGAAGTTGAGATAACGGGACAGTACGAGTAAAACAAACATGCTATATATATATAAGTAAATATTTTAAATTAAATATGAAACAAATATTTTTATACATTTTGAATCTATCATTTTTTGACAAATCAAACAAAGGCAACATCTTTGGCGATTAGAAATACCTTAGATTCAAGAAAATTAGTTTAAAATTTATGACACATCTAAATAATATTAATTTTTAAAGAAAACCAAAAGGCGAGATGTACTGTAATATAACTAAGTTCTTACTTGTTTTATAAAAGACAATTAAATATAATGATTTTAATATATGTAGTTACCAAAAATCACGAGTTATCAAGAAGATGATTAAAAAAATTGTTATAAAAAAAATAGTTTAAAGTAAAAAAAAATTCATTTCAAATATTGTTAACGAAATTTTGACACAAATGATACGTATATAATTATAATATTTAGACATTGTCACATTGATTAGTTTAGGAAAACAAATATGTACTTAACAAATATATTATAATTATGGACACGTGTCCGACACAGACACACTCGGACACGCGGTCAACTCTTCGACACGTTCCGACACGTTTTTTCGACACGCAATCAGCTTTTTCCAACACGCGGTCAACGCTCGGACACGTTGGGACACCTTTTTTTTTTTTAATCTTAATTTTATTTTGTTAAGTAAATATAAAAGAAATAATTTATAAATTAATTTTTTTCTATTATGAAATTTGACATGAAAAATTAACAAAGTACGAAAAATTATTTATATTTATATTTATGTTATGATATTTAAATATTTGATTGGTTATATGACTTATTGTGGACTCTTATATGTATTAAATATAAATTATATTATATATATTAAAATTTTTATTTAATATCAAAACGTGTCCCAACGTGTCGAAATATGACATTTTTTAGAATTAACGTGTCAACGTGTTGTGTCCCGTGTCCGTGTCCATGCATCATAGCTACTACCAATCAATTTCACCATTAGATCAATTATGTTGATCCAACGGTTATATTTATTTTCATCTTTGTATGGTTATGATTCCATATATTTAATACTTTATATTTATTTCCACTTTTGTATAGTTATGATTTCAAACATGGGGAATCATAATCATAAAAAGATGAAAATAAATATAACTGTTGGATCAACATAATTGATCTAATGGTGAAATTGATTGGTAGTAACATTAGTAATAACACTAATTAATTGTTACAATATCCTACTCCTATTATTATTATTAAGTCATTCAAAACACATTTTAAATCTTAGATCTCAAATCATCACAAATTTGTTACTTTTTTTTTCTTGACAAACAAATCACAATCATATCTGCTACTTCATTTGGACTTTGATTTGATCAAAATTAGTTATATTTTAAATTACTATTTCTTTTAACAATTGAATCATACTTATTAGATGATAATTATAATTGACTCCGCACTTCTTGAATCAACGATTGTGTCATCTGTAATGGGTCAATATAAGTGCATTAGTTTAGTTTTTTTTTTTTGTCAAGTTGATTAAATCTTTTTTTTTTTGGTAGAAGTTGATTAAATTTTAATTAAGAGGTTAAGACTTAAGACAATCAATAATAATTTCAGTGTGACAGATTATCCGTCCTTGTCTTTGTATAGGAAGCAACAAGAGCATGATGATGTAAACAATTAATTATAATCAAACAACAATGCGCGCATAATATTATTTATTTATATGCGTACAATATAAGTAAGCCAATGATTTATGAATAACTGGATGTTACTTTCACACACACAACCAATCTGAGTGGAACTGAATGCAGCACTTGAATTGTTTGTTGAAGAATGTTTCGTCACATTTAGCTTGTAGTGTTGCACTTCAATGCAACACTAGAAGGAAGCTTTTAATGTGGTGGTTTTTGCTTCCTTAAAATGTCTAAATTGATGTTGCATAATCAATTTATGGGTTTTATAAAAATAATGTTGTAGGACAAATTTGTTATGTTATGCTGAAACAAAAGATTTCGTGAGGTCCACTTTTTCTTTAAAAAAGAAGAAAAAATGCTGGTAGCATGTTTTATGTATGTGCAGAACGTGGAATTGTTTTCCTGTGACATGAGGAAACAATTCCCCTCAATTTATATAGTACAATCCAGATGGCTTAAGACTTAAAACTGATCATAATAATGAATTTTGTAATTAATTTTTTTGCCTACTAAAAGAATAAATATAAGTATTTGATACATTTTTTTTAATGAAATAATATATTAACTGTTCATAATCTGTACCGAGAATTGGTCGTAAGTGAACAGCATTTAAACCCAATTGGAGGTCATTGTATAACTTTTTATTTTATTTTTTCTTGAGATATTCCAATCGATTTATTATTCGCGACTAATTCGATTTGAGACGGGTCTGAGAATTAAGACTTTAAATTCCTCCCAAAGATGATACTGGAGATAATCAAACACATATTTTTACCCTCATATACTCAATTTTCTGACATCAACTGAACTATCATAATTTATTGTATAACTTCCACCTTGCAATGCTATACTAACAATTCGGCGGCTCTTGAAAATAAAATTAAAAAAATAATCCAACTACACTTAAAGAGCAGTATTTAATTTAAAGTCTTAATTTAATTTAAAGGGATCAAAAATTAAAATTATTAAAGAATATAATTTTAATTTTAATTTTAATTAATAATAGATATCATTTTATTTTACTTAATTAATAGTTAAAATTATTCTT